AAAAAAAAAAAAAAAAACAGGGAGGGAGAGGGAGAAGGGGAGAAAGGTGGTGAGGGGTGAGTGGCTCAGTGTGAAGTTCATGGGTTTAACTCTAAATAATGAAATCTAAATTAATCTGAAATAAATAAGTAAATGATTCTACACACCAAATGACACTTACATTGCTACAAGAGGGATTTTCCTTCCCATAGATCTTCCTCCATTTATCAGTGGGTCTCAGCTCCCAGACCTGGCAGCACATTAGAATATTGTACTTGAGGAGAAACAGAAGATAAATAGAGACATAATAGCCAGAAACTGGAGACCACACACACCGGATATATGCTGAATAATTCCATTCATATGAAACTCTAGAGCAAGCAAAACCAATCTACACAGACATCTGATTAGTGGGTGTCTGGAGTTAAAGGTGGAGACCAACTGGGAACACCAGGGGTGATGGAAACTTGGTGACGTGGATGTATTTATCAGCACTCACTGGAAGGTGCACCTAATAGGTGCCCTTCACTGTACATAAATTAGGCCTCAATAACAGTTTAGTTGGTTTTGTTTTGTTGTACCAGGGATCAAACTCGGGACTTTGTGCTTTCAAGGCAGGCAGCCACACCACTGAGCTAAATCCCTGGCCTGTGTTTTAAATGCAGATTATAAACCAGGCATGGAGTCCCATGCCTGTAATCCCAGCACTTAGGAGGTTGAGACAGTCAGGGTCATGAGTTCAATCCCAGCCAGGAGAAAGAAAAAAAAAAAGAGTAATTTAAAAATATTTGTCAAATTAGTCAACATCAATGAATTTTCTAAAAATAATGTGTGTGTGTGCCTGTATGTGTGTGTGTGTCCAGATCCCTCCAGACACCAATTATGAAATTCTCTGGGCAGAGCCCTGGCCTTCAATAGTACTTCAAAATTCTCTAGGGATAATTACTCACAGCCAGGGATGTGAGCCACAGACCTCAAGGGACAGGGATAAGATTAGAGGACACCTGTGCACTGCTCTGTCCCTTCCTGGGAGAGAAGATGGGGACAATTTATCTAACTCCCTGTCCCCGGAGGTCAGTCTTAAACTTCGGATTTCACCGCCTGTTTTCCTCCTCACCTCTTCCCTTGGCAACTGGAGCTCCAGATGGGCTCCTCTGGTGTAGAAGGAATGGGTGGCTTAGGGTTTGGGAGCTGAGGCTGAGTGCCTAGGAGTCTCTGTCCTCCAAAGCCCACATTGCCGGAAGGTGCCAATCACAAGCCCCTGTAATAACTCCAAGAATTTGGCCAGAGGGAGAATGCCAGGGTATCCAACAGGCTCTGTAGCCAGAACACCGAAGCCCCCAGAGATGGGCCATCCTCACTCAATCGTGGACAGCTCCAGCCTGAAGCAGCCTAGAGTCTCAGCAAGACATATCTCTGGGGCCAAGTGACCATCTCCAAGGTTTCTGCTTCGTGACAAGCCTCTTCATATCTCTATACTTCAGTTTCTTCATCTCCAAAATGGAGCTCCAGGGCCCAAGGTTTTAACTCAGTGGTACCACCACCTGTCTCACAAATGCAAGATCCCAAGATCAATCCCCAGTACCAAAAAGGGGGGGGGACTCCAAATACCTCTATCCTAATCTAATGGCTGACACTGGCCCATATTGTAAAGATGTGCAAGTTACAAAAAGACACTTCTTCCACCTGACCTATTGTCCCAGCTACCTGGGAGACTGAGGCAAGAGATCCTTTGAGTCTAGGAGTTCAAGGCTAGCCTGGGAAACACAGCAAGACCCAATCTTAGAAAAATGAAAATATAAGAATAAAAAGACATTCCTTCCTTAAAATACTGCCTTGAGGCGGGCGTGGTAGAGCATGCCTGTAATCCTAGCACTCGGGAGGCTGAGGCAGGAGGATCGCTGTGAGTTCCTACATAGTGAGCTCCAGATCACTTTCAACTACATAGTAAGACTCTGTCTCAAAAAACCAAAAATAAATAAATAAATAAATAAAAATAAAAAAAATACTGCCTCGATCTTATTAGAACAAGATACTTTACTGCCACCTGCTGGAAATTGACAAGTGTGCAATTCATAATGTTCAGGATAAATCTGGTGTGGTGGCATAGTTTGTAATCCCAACACTCAGGAGGCTGAGGCAGGAAGATCATTCCTGTGGCCTCCACCCTGCCCTCTGATCTTTTACTTGTTTTGGTTTTTTAAAACAGGGTCTTTGTAGCCCAGGCTGGACTGATTCATGGCAATTCCCACCTCTGATCTTCACCTGGTCGCCACTCTCTCTGAGAAGGCAAAAATCTCAGATCTTAGCTGCCAGAGAAACTGGCAAACTCTACCCCTGGTGATGGGGGAAAACTCCTTGGCTGGGGAGAACGCTGGGGTGGTGACTAGGTTCGGGGAAAAAGAGCCTGAGTGCAGGGGAGAAAAAAAGAGTCTAGGTTGCAGGCTCTGAAGAGAGATCTGAGGGGGTCTCCGGGTGAAGGATTCTGGAGACCAGGTTCCCGAAGAGAGGAAAATGAAAGAAATTCTGGTGGAAGCTAGAATTAGGGGAGGGAGCTCTGAGGGGGAAAAGAATAGAAGAAGATCCTAAAAAAGTGGGTTCTGGGAGCTGTGATTCTGGGAATCGGGCTTGATTTCTCGCGGCTGACTTCCCCCACAGCGGACTCTGACGCGGATTCTAGAAGGGAGTCCCGAGGGGAAGCACATTGCCTGGATAGAAAGCTGAGAATCGACTTAGAGAGGGGAGAAGGGGGAGTAAAACAGCCGAAAGGCTAATGAGAGCTGGCGGAAACCTAAAACAGCTACCAAAAGCTTGCCCGGCCTCTCCGCTCTTCAGCGCACCAACTCCACCGCCCGCCCCCCACCAGGCCCGCCCTCTCCTCTCCCGCACGCCCTTCCTGCAGCTCCCTGAGGCCCCGCCCCCGCAACAAGGTGAGCCGTAAAGCTCCCTCCTGTCGTGATGTGGCGCACAAGACGCATGCGCAGGCCCTGAAAAGCAGTTTGGGCGGCCCCGATCTTCCTTTTTCCGGTTGCGGCGCCGCGCGGTGTGGACCTCTAGTCTACTTTAGCAACCATGCCGTCCAAGGGTCCGCTGCAGTCCGTGCAAGTCTTCGGTCGCAAGGTAGGCCAGGCGCTGGATCGGTGAGATCCGGGGTCGCCGGGGTGTGGCGGAGGCCAATGGGCAAAGGGACTGGTGTCTCCCTGACAGCCGGGCCCCAAATCTCACATGGGCCCTCTATCTCTTCCCTTTTTACAGAAGACGGCCACAGCTGTGGCACACTGCAAACGGGGCAATGGTCTCATCAAAGTGAACGGACGTCCCCTGGAGATGATCGAGCCGCGAACGCTGCAGTACAAGGTACTGGGATCAGAGACTGGCGTGGAGTGGAGAGCTCTTGGGAGAGGAAATGCTGCAGATGTTGGAAGCTGAGGGCGCCAGTGTTGATAAATGGATGCTTAGAAGCTGACTTGGGGGAAGAAAAATGTACTTAGTAATATAGCTGGGCCTGGGTTTGGAAGATGTGAAAGGCGAGGTGGGAAAGTGAAACGTGGGCGTTGAAGTTTAAGTGGATACTTTGAAAACAGATATTTCGGAGCTGACCCAACTGAAGGGACCAGGTAGCAAGGGAAACAGTGAGCTTGTGAGGACTGATTTGTTTTCCTCTCTTAGGAATATTGGTTATCTGAGGACAAGGACAAGGATTGTCCTGATAAATCTTAAATTTCTGAAGTAGGGTCTGAACGGTAGGTAGTAGATGGTATTAGAAGGACAAGAGTATTGAGATCTATTTTATTTTATTTCCCCCTTCCCCACGTAATGGGGATTTAACTCAGAACCTTGTACTTGTGAGACAGGTGCTGAGCCACTGAGCTAAATCCCCAGGCCTGAGGTCTTTTAAATTTTTTTTATTTATTTATTTATTTATTTATTTATTTATTTATTTATTTATTTATTTATTTATTTATTTATTTATTTATTTATTTATTTATTTATTTATTTATTTACTTACTTACTTATTTTTTTTTTTTTTGAGATAGGGTCTCACTATGTAGTTGAGACTGCCCTGGAACTCACGGTGTATCCCAGGCTGGTCTTGAACTCAGTGATCCTCCTGCCTCAGCCTCCCGAGTGCTGGGATTACAGGCTTGCGCCACCACGCCCGGCTTCTGAGGTCTTTTTAAATGGTTGGCTGTGTAAGGTAGTTAGTTCTCTGCTCCCTGTTTGGACCTCTCCTTTTCTTAGGCTGTGAATGGAAAGCGTCTTAACGTTGCAGTATGAGTTAGAATTCAGCAGGAGAGTATTTGAGATTCTTTTGTATAGCAGATACTGAATATTGGGGTTGTTATTGGCTATTTGAAGCATATGTGTTTATAGTCTTGTGTTCAGCTTTGGGGACATAGCCCTAACCCAGGTGACCCTGTGCCCTGCTCTCACTGAGCTCTCAAATTAGTGAAAAGATGGGTCCTGTGTCCCAGATGGACCAAGTACCAGAAACTAGTCCAAGTGATCTCGGCTGGGACCTGGAGCCCAGAGAAGGCTTGGGAATGGGGGAGTAAAGGGGAGATCCTGTGAGCTGAGATCAAAATTAGATAAAACAGAGGTATCCAAACAGTCACTGGAGAAGGGCATAGAGCTGGGATGAGAAGAATATGGCAGAGGCTGCAGTGTGGTGACATCCTCACCCCCCTTCCATTTGTTTATTGAGGCTGGTGTTGGCAATAGTCACACAGAGATAAAGTGGAATTCCCAGTAATGTGACTTAAAAGCCGTGTTTATCCCTGTCTCCCTAGTTACTGGAGCCTGTTCTCCTTCTGGGGAAGGAGCGGTTTGCTGGTGTTGACATCCGTGTCCGTGTGAAGGGTGGTGGTCATGTGGCCCAGATTTACGGTGAGTCCCAGGACCTGGGCACACAGTTGTGAAATGGCCCCGGGTTCAAGGCCTTAGTCTCGGGCCTTCTCAAAGTTGATGTACCTTTTTCCTACTTCCTTGTAGCTATTCGCCAGTCCATCTCTAAAGCCCTAGTAGCCTATTACCAGAAATGTAAGTACAAGTGAGTCCTTATTAGTAGGTGGGTTGGGCACAAGTCAGGCATTGAGATTATCTAAATATTCACCATTTCTCATCTCCAGATGTTGATGAGGCTTCCAAGAAGGAGATCAAAGATATTCTCATCCAGTACGATCGGACCCTGCTCGTGGCTGATCCCCGTCGCTGCGAATCCAAAAAGTTTGGAGGCCCTGGTGCCCGTGCTCGTTACCAAAAATCCTACCGATAAGCTCATCATAAGAATTGGCATTGACCTTTGTAATAAACACGGAATTTTAACGTTGCAAGGACTGTTCCACCGTCTCTGGTAGTAGATCTCTGATTAGATGGTATAGAAGAGGGCTGGGGATTTAGCTCCATGGCACCACGCCTGCCTCGTAAGCTCAAGGTCCTGAGTTTGATCTCCTGTACAAAAAAAATGGTATACAGCAAAGGTCTATGAGGGCTGGCAGTTTAGCTCAGTGGTTCTGCTACCTGCCTTGCAAGCGCAAGGGCCCAAGTTCGATCGCCAGTACCAAAAAAAAAGAAAGAAAGAAAAGTCTGTGGCCATTGTCAGTCTTGATTTTAGCCCTTCCAGAAGTGTAGGCTGGTGGCAGTAGCAGATGGGACCCAGTCTGTTTCCCTCCCCCTCCTGTAGGGTCTGTAGTGCGCAGGCATAGCCAGGGTAGCAGTGGTTGTACACGGTTGGTGGCTATCAAATTTGTAAGATAAGTGAGTGTGTACGCCCAGCCCATGTTAAACTTCAGTTAAGTAGTTTGTGGTGATGGAGATTGAACTCTGTGCCTTCACACACTGAGCTACATTCTCAGTCCTTTTGCACTTTGTTTTTGTGGTTCTAGTCCTTCGCCCTGAGCTACATCCATAGCCATTTCTTACTTTTGAGACAATTATACTAAATTGCCCTGCTGGGCTTGAATTTGTGATCTTCCTGTCTCTCGTCCTCAGAGTGCTGGGATTACAGGCATATACTATCATACCCTAGCTTTTTATTTGGAGCGGGGGGTGTGTCTCACTGAGTTGCCCTGGGTAGGCTTAAATTCTGCAATCTGCCTCAGTCTCCCAAGTAGTTGGGGCTATAAGCAGGCAGGCGTCACCACACCCAGCACTGTCCATTGTTTTTATTTCCTTGGCTGCTGTTTTTTCTAGATAGGGTCTCTGGCCTTGAACTCTCAATGACCTTGCCTCAGCCTCTCCACTGTTGGGATTACAGGCTTAACACTACAGTTTCCACCCCTGGTTTCCTTTGCTGCTGTTTTTGTTCACTGCTAGAGCCTTACAGATGCTAAGAAACCTCTCTCCCTCTATGCCCAGTGCCAGCTTTTCTGGTTTTCTTTTGGGTTTTTTTTGTTTGTTTTTTTAAGGAACTGTCTCAACTATGTTGCCCAGGCCAACCTTAAACTCCTGGGCTCAAGTGATCCTGTCTCACCCTCACTAGTTCTGGGTCTGTAGCATGTACCACCACACCCAGCCCCATTGCTATGTTCATGGCAGGAAGAACAGAGGAAGTGTGTAAGGTCAACAGCAATCTTTAATACAAAGAAACCAAGGACAAATGGTCTGAATAGGATCTGTGAAGTCAGCAGTTTAGAACTGAGGGCCATGCCCAGCCCTGTTTTAAATTTTCTTGGGTAGGGGTTACTGGGGATCAAACCTCCGGTCCTTGTGCTTATGAGGCAGGCAGCAGAACCACTGAGCTAAATCCCCAGCCCCCTTGTTTGAATTTTTGAAACGGTCTTGCTATGCAGTTCAGACTGGTTTTGAATTCACTGTAGCCCAGGTTGGTCTTGGATCCTCCTGCCTCAGCCTTTGTGATGATAGGATTGTAGGCATGTACTACCATTCCTGGCCAAAAACTTGTGTATTTTATACCAGGGATTTAACCTAGAGTCTTCACACTGAGCTACATCCCCAGCCCTTCTTTTAATTTTTTTGAGAAGGCCTCACTATGCACTTCAGGCTGGCCTTGAACACAAGGTGATCCTCCTGCCTCAGCCTTCCAAGTGTTGGGATTACAGGAGTGCCCACTGTGCTTGGTTTTTTTGAGACAGGGTCTTGATAAATTGCCCAGCATGTGGGGAACACCTAGCAGTATGTTGCTGTGGATTAAATCACCTGTAGGTTTTTCCTCCTTTTGGAGAAAAAAAGAAAAACCGAAAAATGGAAGTAACGTTGAGCTGGGTGGTCAGCTAAGGCAGTTGTTACTATGTTAGGCAGTCGCAGATTGTCCAAAAGGGCCTGTCCCAGCCCTACAGTTTGGGGGCCATCTGGTCAGAGTTGTCCGCTTTTGAGAAGTACAGTGGATAGTGGGGCCCACAAGAGGTACCTGACCCAGCCCCATGGATTCAGTGGGCTCCCAGGGAAGATGACATCTGAGGTTGGATCAGTCAGACCGTCTGACCATTAACTTCATTCTTCAGAACACCTCTGCTGTGCCATGTGGGGACCCTGCAGTAACCATACCAACTTCCCGTCTTCCAAGAAGTCCTGAAATGGTGTTGCTGGAGGAGGAGGGGTTGGTGGAAGTGATCTCATAGCCAGGGAGCCAGAGGCCGTCTGAGCTTGCTTTGCTGTTGGGACAGTGGAAATCTTCCAGAGTCAGCCTTTCAGATTGCTGGAGGAACTGCTTGAAAATAAACTGAGGGGACAGTTTCCCAGCTTGACATTCACTGTCTAGTGGTCCTTCCCCAGACAGGAGTCCCATGTGGCCACCAAGCTGGGCTGTCAGAACAATGTTGTTGAGGAAAGCTGGGACAGCACTGACTGAGTACACAGGGGAGTGAGTTAACTAAGTAAGGGGGGCAGTGGGCACCGCTCTTGCCCCCAACCTTTGTTTTGAAATGAGTTCTCACTGTGTTGCTCAGCTTGCCACGCTTGCCTCTTAATTCCTGGGTTCAAGTGACCCTCCTGCCTCAGCCTCCTGAGTGCTAGGACTAGAGGCACACACCACTGCAACTACCTTCACCTTCTCTTTCAGTCCTAGCCATAGCTCTAAAAAAGCCGCCTCAGCAGGCAGATGATTGGCCAGTAAAGGCAATGCCAGAGGGAATAGGAACTGGGGTCATGAAACAGAGGTAGACACTGGGCAGGAGGGAGGGGTGGAACTCAGATAGCCGAAGGAGGGACTGAGCTAGATAGGCCTGGGGCCATGGTTTTCCTACTGGGCTCAGAGACCACTTTATTGAGGCTCCTGGCTCCTTCCCAGAAGCACAGCTGGGACACATCTGGAGAGGGAGCCCGCCTCTCCTTAGCCACTCCTGGCCTGGAGTAGACAGCCCCTTTTTCCTCCCAGCCTCCTCGAATACCGGGAATTCCGGCGCCGCTGGGAGCCCAGGCCAGGCTGGGAACTGCTCTTCAGCTGGGAATGTACAGCTGGGGGAGGCTGGGAATGTGCAGCCGGGTGGAGGAGGGGAGGGCCAGCCTCAGTCCTGACCCTGGGAGGCAGCCTGGAGTCCTTAGTCACTGTAGGCTGAGGAGGCCACCTCAGCTACTGTGGGCCCCAGGACTCAGCCCAGGCCCTGCTGCGCTGCAGTCACTCGATAAACAAGAAGTAGAAGCCATCAACGAACATTTATTGAGCTAGGCCTGTGCTGGCTGGCTAACTCAGCTGAATCACATGGGCCCCAGCAAGCAACAGGCTACACGCTAACGGGGCCCAGGAAATGCTTCCCTTAAGCACTTGGTCCTGGAAAGGCACTCAAATCTGATAGCACAGACTGGAGCAAGGCTTGGTCCATTTCTAGCCTTTCCTAGCTGTGGGACTAGGAAGGTCCCTTTCTCTGTGCCTCCTTAGAGATATTAAGCCACCCTCATGGGGGCTGGGGACATAGCTTGTCTAGCAAAAGAAGCTCTGGGTTTGATTCCCAGCACGGACCCAAAACAAAACAAGAACCAATGAAAACACACCCTCACTTGCCTTTTAGGGATATTGTGAAGACCCAAAGTGGATAAGCTCACAGAAAACTGATTGGAATGCTCATGGTATGCAGCTAGTACGCAGCCAGCTTTTTGCCACTAGCCAGATGGTAACATTCAGATTCCCAGGCTCTGCTCTGGAGGGTCCGATTCAATAGGCTGAGGCTAGGTCCCGGGGGCCCTGTGATCTGAATTGCGCCCTTGCTGACCCAGAGGCTCGGGCACATCTGGGGAGCGAGAGGGGATACTCCCTGGACGCTGGATTCAGGCACACCCAGGAGAAAGATGGGACTTGAATGTACTACGACTCAGAGGTGCCTCAGAGAATTCTAGGGAAAATTAGTGTGCTAAAACACCAAGATGTTGTGTTTCATAGAAGCAGCTGATATTATCACTAAACTGCTTAAATTATGCGCAGTACAGAGCCCACCACTGCAGGAAGGAGGGGGCAGAGCAGCCTACCATAAAAGCCTTTTGTCTAAGACCCGAGTCATTTGTGGGAGGGAGCACGTTGAGGAATTGTTGCAGTCCCAAAGGAGGGGGTGAAGGATATGATGTGTGTGGGAAGGCACAAGAATTGGGATATTCATGTGGCTGGGGAGGGACTGCCAAGGCACACCAGAGCCCCAGACCCGATCCACCCTGGTTAGCACGGAACTGTCTCTGAAGCTCCGCATATCAAGACCCAGAACCCAAATGGGGAGGGATTTGAAAATGGGTGAATGAGGTGTATGAGTGACTAAATGACAGAGGGACAGAGACAGAAGTGGAGGGGTGGAGCCAGATGGAGAGGGACAGGTAGAATGTTGGGTGGATGAATGGGCTGATGGGGAATAGAATGCTATGTGGGGAAAGGATGGAAGAGTAAAACAGCAGAGAAAGTGGGACAAGCAAAGGATAGTAGTTAGGAAGACGGAGAGTTATACACCAGAGGGGAGAACAGATGGAGCAACAGCTGGGCATGAGATGAATAATTGTGGGACATGAGTTGGGTACTTAAGTTGGTAAGAAAATGGACTTCAAGGAGTCTACTTGGAGTAAGCGCCCACCCCTTCTCATTTTTTGAGAGTTTTGCTATGTAGCCCAGGCTGGCCTTGAATTCACAGGGACCCTCCTGCCTCAGCCTCTGGAGTGCTGGGAACTATAGGGCCTTTTTTTCAGTACTGGGTATGAACCTAGCACCTTGTACTTGTTGGTAAGTGCTTTTCTACTGAGCCACTTCCCAGCTGGGAGAGACTTAACCTTAAATTCCTGATCAGCAGTTCATAAGCGCTTTGAAAATGCACCCGAAACTGCAGTAGGTGTAGTTTCTAGTAAGTATCAAAGACTGAGATCTGTCCAGTTCTCAGAACCAGTGATTCATGCATCACCTTTTCCCAGTCTTGTCACTCTCTCCACAAACATCAGAAAGGAAAAACACATAACCCTGTATTACTTAACAAAATATTAATGATGTGCCCTTCCTCATCCCTGTTGGATCAAAGCAAGAAGGGCCATTTGGGAAAACAGATCCGAGGGACAAGAAAGCGACAGCCACTTCTGGACCCGTGTCGGGAATTCTGGGTGAAATTCAGGAGTGTGTGGCACTAGTTGAAGCCGTGGCTTTTTGGGAAGCCTGATGTCCTAAATCACTAAAGGAAGGGGCCTCAGGAGCCCCCTGGGCCCTGTGAAGGCCCGCAGGCCCCTGAGTGGGGGGCCAAGAGAGCAGGGTGGTTCAACCTGACCTGGGTCTTGGCTGGCCGCAGCCGCCCCCCACCGCCCACTTGGATGCTGACTGTGGTGGCATAGCTGAGCCGCCTGGCAGGGGGTGGTGGGGGCTGGGGTGGGGGTGAAG